AAATGAGCTCGTGTATTTATATATATCGTTGTATGATTTTATAAAGGGGATCGATTACTATACACCCATCGTCGTTGTGGATGGTATCCACCTAAAATCAACATACACGGGACATTCGTCTCTGCTAGCACGTTGGATGGTGCAGGTTAGTTAATTAAAAAAATTACATACAAGTTAGACTAACATAGAAAATACTATTTTGATTTTTAATACAACTATAATGATATTTTTGGTCTGTATGCAATTGTATTTACAGGACATATACTGCCACTAGCATATGTTGTAGTTGATTCAGAGGATGATGCTCATTGGTTGTAGTTCTTTGAGCAATTTAAGGTAGCTTATGGCGAACGAGAGAACATATGCATCATTTCATATAGGAATGAGAGCATCATCAAATCTGTATCTATAGTGTATCATACTGTACCTCATTTTGCTTGTATATGGAATCTATGGAACAACGTATACAAGAAATTCAAAAAGAGTCATGAGAAGTTGAATGAGTTATACTTTTCAACGAAAAAAACATACACCTAGGAAGAATTTGATAGTCTAAGGGAAAAGGTGGAGAAAGTAGATATTCGGGTGAAAGATTACTTGGAATTAGCTGGATACAAAAAGTGGGCTAGGTTGTATGCACATGTTAACAGGGGATGAACTAAGACGTCAAATATTGCTGAGTCGATCAATTCGGCACTTGTATTAGCAAGAGAATTTCCAATATATGACTTCCTAAAAGAAGTTAGGAATATGTTTGGACGTTGGAATTGTAGCAATAGAAAAGAAGCTTCACACATGTACACAACGCTTGGGAAAAAATATCAAGAAATTATTACATTGAATGAGGCATTGTCAACACGTATGACTGTAAACAACAGGCTGTACTGGTATGACCTCTATTACCTAATGGACCTAGACCGACTTCTCTAGGGTACGGGACGCGGGAGACTGAGCTCCTCCCCTAGCCTGAAATGTGGTTGGTGCAAGTGGAATCAACCCGCCTAAGCTAGAGTATCAAACATGCTCAAGAACTATGTGAGGGTCTCCTGTAGTGTAGGGGTGGCAACAGGCGCCTCGGGTGTCTGTCCCCTAACTAGAGCTACTGGTGGCTCCTTTGTCGTAGCTCGGGCAGGTGCTCTAGCTGCACCACGTGCCCCTCCTCGGCCTCTAACCCAGCCCCGGTCTCTCGCAGCTCTAGCAGGGGCGTAGATGTCTAATCGCTGGATGCAGCAGTGCGTGTCCTCACAATCTGGTAGAGAATAGAAAGTCAAAGATTCAGTTTTGAAATCAACCAATTCACATGATAAGGAATCAAAGAAGTGAAGTTTTCCTAACAGTTCCGTAGCCTCTCGAAGATAAGTACAAACGTCTCCGTAAGGATCCACAAGGCTCTACTAAACTTGCTTATGACTTGTAACACCTATGAACCTAGAGCTCTGATACTAACTTGTTACTATCCCAATTTTCCTCCGTAGGATGTTGTGATGGCACCTAGTCTCTACGACTAGGTAAGCCTAACAGTTAATAATAACTTCACGGGAATAATTAATAGAATATTAAAATAGAACCAACTTATCTTCCTTACTCACCAACAAACTTGACATGGAAGGGAAATCCTGCAATGACTAGAGATTAGGTGGAGAAGCAACATAGATAGAAAGTCCAGAAATTGATACCAAGAAAGGGTATCTGATATGTCCCATGTCACTTTCTTTTAGTTTGTGTTGGTTTAAATTGGCATGTAATTACTGCATTATGATAATACTTGGTAATTTTTGGTTGTGTGACTTTAGAGGTGGATGTCATGCTATGACTTAGGTTCTGTAAGTGTTTGCAGTTGTAAGTTATAACATAGCATCCACTATTCTAAGTTGATGTAAATGTCAAACTTCTGACTTGGTAAGTTGGTATTGTTTGTTCGCTAAATTAGTGTTTTATCAGTTGATAATTTATGTTGTTGGTCTTAATTAGTATGTTATCAGTTGGTAATTTATGTAGTTAATTAGTGTGTAATCAGTTGGTAATTTATGAAGTTAATTAGCCCTTTTTAATCAGTTGTGACTTCTTTCTGCTGTTGATAATGTACATATTTAGGACCTTCTTTTTGCTGTTGGTAATGTACATAGATTAACTATTGTTTGCTCGACAAATTCTACTGAAAAGATGACAAATTCTATTGGAAATTCTACTGGAACCAACATCACTCATGTTACTAACATAACAAATTCTACTGGAAAGATTGAACTACTAATTGTCATTTGAAATGATAAACGATTGGAATCCATACAATACAAACATTACTTTAGCAAAAAAAAGTCAGTTAACTAATAGTTATCATTGGTACTAAATGAAAACATTAGAGATACAAGATTGTACAAAGTAATTCACTTCATAAATGAGGAAGCAAATCCAACAATTAGGACACTGAAAACTATGATGAACGTCTTCATCTTCAACACTTTGTCTTCCAATTTTATAACTTTTTTAACTTCAGAATTCTTCATTGCCTCTAATACTTTAACCCTTTTCTTCAAGCCATCACTTTCAACTTTAAGAGCTTTCAAAGAAATATTCAACATTTTAATCTCTCGATTTGATCGTACATTAGTAATTGTAATTAATGCAACATCGGGGAATTCTTTATCGTGCAATTGCCAATAACCACATCCTTCATTCTAAACGAAACACAAACAACTTCAAACAATTGTTGAAACAATGGATATCAATCGATATGGAAGGGGTACCTCAGGTTTAGGACACTTGTAGAATCTCCTTCGTGGGTTTATGAGTGATTGGCAACTTCTCCACAATGATACATCCTCTTCGATGAATAACTATTCTCCGACATTGTATGCCTTTCAATAACCTAAACAGTCCCAACACAAAAGTTTAAGAAGAAAAAAGGCGAGAGAAAATAACAGAACTCTAGATTTGGTTGCTATTGATTTGTCAATGGTGGTTTAGGGTTGTAATAGCTTATCGGGTGTTTTAATTTAGGGTGGGGGAATCCGACGGGTTATGGGTCGGGGCGGGTTAGTCCATTAGAGGGGTGTGTTTTTAAGTTCAAAGATGCTACGTGTCCCATTTCGTCAAAAAGGGGACAAATATGGAACTTTGTGTGACAATTAGGGGTGTTCATAAAAACCCGAAAAACTGAACCAAACCGAAAACCAAACCAAACCGACCAAAAAAACTGATACTTTTTAGTTTGGTTTGGTTTCGTTTTGAATTTTAAAAACCGATCAAATTTGGCTTGGTTTTGGTTTTAATCAGAAAAAACCGAAAAAAACCGAACCAAACCAACTATAGGAGTAGCTATTTCAAATTTATTATTACACCTATATATATGTATATTTTTATACAAAATTTCAAAATTTTTATGGTAAATGTTAATAGTTTTCACTTTTAGTATAGTTTTTTACCTTTACATTCTAGTTTGATTGGTAGTTTTTTTGTTAAGTGTAAGAATTTATTTCGTGTTAAAAATAATATATTTTTAGTTGAGTCCTTAAATTATTCATCACTATTTGATTCAATTATCATCAATATATCTTGGTAAATAATAGATTTCTCAAAGGGCAAATTGATTTGATAGTGTTACGTTGAAAATGTGGTCGCCGAAATATGTGTTTGGTAGTGTATGTCTTATATTTAAGAAAAAAACCGACAAATAACCAAAAAAACCGAAAAACCGACAAAACCAGACATAAACCGAATCGAGAAAAAACCGACTTAATTGGTTTGGTTTGGTTCTAATATTTAAAAAATCGACTTACTTGGTTTGATTTCTTTTTAGGGAAAAATCGATCCAAACCGAACCATGAACACTCTAGTGACAATAGAGATCATATTAGCAAGAAAGTATAACGGGAACTAGCTTATACTAGGGTTGCTTATCGGGCGGATTGGGCGGTTATTTACTCTTAACGGTTTGGCTTATCGGTTATCGACTTTTAAATGTTTTAATCCGCTAGCCACCCGATAAGATATCGGGCGGATTGGTATCGGTTTAGCTCTTATCGGGCCGTTAGTGGGCGGTTTATCGGCCTAATTCAATCTATATTCTACAAGTGGTAGCACTACTACACTAACGTCGAAAGAAATGCATGTCATCCAAATTAATCTCTAAATCGTTCAAATGCTTCAAAACAAATTGACTTTCTCCAGATTTGAGCCAAACGATGCAACTTATCAACCTTATTTTCTCAAGATTTATTTTGGTAAATGATACAGAAAATTCTAAATCTAGCAGCTCGTTAATGGCAACATTGAGCAGCCTAAAACGGTAATATGAAAATGACAACAAAAACTGTGTTGTACTTTCTTATGTCATTCATTTGAATTATGTTACATATTTTTCATAATTCTGATTATTTAGGAATTAGGCGTTAGAACTTAGAGATAGAGTACTGGAAGAGTGGAAGACTGAAGTGGAAGGGTTTTTGATATTTAATATATATATATATATATATATATATATATATATATATATATATATATGGTTTTTGATAGAGTCCTTTCACTTATTTGTTATGGTTATTTTCTTTCTGGTATCTTTTATTATTACATGTCTTTTCTCTTATTTCTTTTCTGATATTATTGCCTTTCCTGTTGAGCCGAGAGTCTCCTGGAAACAGCCTCTCTGCCCTTTTCGGGGCAGGAGTAAGGTCCGCGTACACTCTACTCTCCCCAGACCCCACTAGTGGGATTTTATCGGGTATGTTGTTGTTGTTGGATAAAAATAAATTATATATACATATATATTCTTAACGGGTTAACGGATTATCCGTTAAGAAAATTGAATAATCCGCCCCCAAACCGATAAGCCGTTAATAAAAAAAATTCAATCTGTTCCCCGTCCGTTAAACCCTTAACCCGATATCAATAAACCATTAAGCTTCGGTTTCTGTTCGATTTTCTTTTTGGTTCAGTTTTGAACACCCCTAGCTTATACAATAAATCAAAGTAGAGGGAAATAAATGACCTTTTCCGAATCTAAAATTAGCGGGACTAATTTGGAAAACTTCCACCAAATAAACAGTGACACTGACACCATCTCTTCTCCCGCTCTCGGTTATCTCGCTCATGCAACAACACACACACACACAGTGAACAACTACCATGGCGGCCACCATCTTAAGGTCTCCAAAAATCCAACCCCCTCCTCCTGAAACAACCACCTCAAATCTCTCATCCCTCACTCACATCTCCTTCACTCCATTACCTAAACGACGTCGTTATCTCTCGATCTACGCCTGCGCCGACGGTTCCGGCAACAGCCCATTCGGAGGCAATATTAAGAAAGGTCAAGCAATTGAGCTTAATAAAGTCAATGATGAACATCCTTATGAATTCAATGCCAAGGATTCACCTAATCCCCTTCCAAGTAGGTTACAGTTTTTAAAATTGATCAATTTCGATAAATTTAGGGCTTTCTTTTATAATGCAATTGTCTTGATATTTTGTGTTGATTGATGAATTTTAGGGCCATTGACGTCGGCTGATTTGAGCAATATGGCATCCGAAGGGTCTCGTCTTCGGGTTGCTTATCAGGTTATGAGTGGGTGTAATGCGTGCGTTTTCATTTTTCTTTAGACATTGATTAAAAAAGGCGGATTGGAAATATAGAGTTTCAGTTATGTACATTGACGGTGTAAAAAAATTACACAATCATGTCACTTAGTAGGTAATTTTAGGTAAATCTCTTGATAGGCGTTAATAAGTAATCTGGTAAAAATGCTAACTAACCTGCTATCAGATTTTAAAATTCACTGATGATGTTAAAACTTCTTATGCTGTCAGTGTGTGTGTGTGTTTGTGTATATATATATATATATATATATATATATATATATATATATATATATATATATTACACCAACTAGTTTCAAATTTTGGATACGCCTCTGCTAATCAGGTTGCTTGTCGACGATCCTGATTGGTTATGTATTGATCTTTCAGGGAGTGCGTGGTGCTTACAGTGAATCAGCAGCAGAGAAAGCATATCCAAACTGTGAAGCAGTTCCCTGTGAACAATTTGATACTGCTTTTGAAGTGAGTTTTTCTTTGGTTACTCAATTAAGGCAACGATTGTTTTCATCAATGAATTATGCATTTCTTTGTGTGTAGGAGCGGATGACGGTTAACCATGGTTGTAAACTTATCCATCATTGGTTACTTTGTATTGTTTAATGAGTATTTATTTTTCAAAGATAAAGTAAAAAAGTTAATGCTAATTACATCTGTTCTAGAATTAAAATAGGATGGTTGAAGTGGAGTGCTATGATGTATTATTTGATAGGAAGATATCTAACAAATTAATAAACAATTTCTGTAGAACAGTTGTGATTTGTGAGACGAGCAATGTTACATGGGAGTGAATATTGAGCCTCTAGATCCTGCATATAATGTTACAAAAATACAAAGTGTTGCATTGGATGTGTGGTAAGTGGCCACAAAATTGAATAATATATTTTTTTGTAAGGTTAATTTTATTGCTAAAGGTACCATGATGGTACAGAGAATTACGTAAAAGGAGCCGAAAATCCTTTACAACAACCTCCTAAAATCCGTCTATATAAATGGATATAAGGAGTTCACATTGTAATAGTAAAATTTTCACCATAGGGCTTATAGACATCGGCATGTCCTCCATAATAACCACGCCGAAATCAAAAAAGAGAAGTTACATCAAAATATGGTTCTCGATAAAAGTGGCCCAATCCTCTATACGACAAGGGACCTCATAAGTACACCAAAAAGAGAATAGAGACAACATAAAATTGGATAATATTAGAATGGTTACACCCTATCAAGGGTGCAAGTACCACAGACAGAGGGTAACATAATGGAAGGCTGGCTGAGATAGTTGTTGAATATCCTTAAATAAAAAAAGAACTTAAGAAATTGTCAATACAAAATAATTACTCCAGATTATTCTTTATAATGCTTTTCTTTATGATGACTTTCTAATCCTGCTACTTGTGTTGACACTTATTCCAACCTAAGGGATAACTTCATATCTATTTAACATGTTGAAGGAACTCATGACTGCTCTGTTCCTTGCATAAGATGTGGTTATTATGGTTTTCCATGTCATGAATGCTGGAATTCTAGTTATGTTAACCAAAAAAGTTTAAACTGTTGCACCATGTGTTAAAATGTTGACCCACTTTAACTTCAACAGTAACTTGCTAAAATCCTTAAATTTTGGCTTGGTTAGGGATTATGGAACCTCTTTTTTTAATCATAAAAGATGGACTTATTTTTCCTTTTTTCATACTGGGTGCCAATAGTTCAAATATTGCATTTTCTTCTATATGGATATGAAGAGATCAGTTAGTCAAACATGAGTCTACCTCTATAAGAAATTTCAAGTATTTATGAACAAGCTGCCCAAGCTGGGAGATACTGGAAGATGCTGGAAGTAGCTTATTGTCTTGAATTATTATGTGAAAAATGCTGTTATATCCTCTTGTTGTTTACGTTTGCTCACCCAAAGACTTCATAAGAGGCCCTTATGTTCATATTATGTCTCTATAATCTAATTCTTCCCATACTTTTTCCTTTGATTTTATCTATCTCTGTCTTTCTTTATGCTTTTCAAAAACCACCATGTCGGGGCTTGGGTTAGATCACGGACCCTGTATTGGTGTCTTCTATAAATATCTAGAGGTAATTTCAAGAAAGCTATTTTCTTTGAAAATAGGAGAGGAAAATATATCTCAGCCAATTATTTTATAATGTTTGCTTGCATAATTTATTTTGAGCTGGAAATTAGTTGGGTTTTGTAAGAAGTAATAGAAATGATTATTGCATGTAGGGATGCGTAGAAAATCTGGCAGTTGTCCCAACATTTTCAGAATTGACAGCCATAAATTGTCTGATCATAGTATTATCTGCTTGTTCTTAAGGAATGGTACCAATTCTCCTTTAGGTAATGTTAGGCCTAGCGGGTTTATCTGATCTTTTTAATGCTGTACAGTGATACAGATAACCAAATATTAAAATTTGTACTACAGGCGTCAGGCTGGATTGAAATTTCTTGTGAAATGGTTTCAGTCTGTCTGTGTAAACTAATTCGGTTATGCAAGACATAATAGCTGGGGCCTGCCAGACTAAGGTCACTAAAGATTCTTAAGCTGGCTTGTGTCATTAGTTTATATTTTCTTAAAGAGTGAGGTCACTAAAGACTTAACAGTAAGTTCCAGATGCAGCAGAAGCTAGTTTCACATTCTTTTGCACATATATAGATTAAAATCAAACCATGATTTCACCTTCCTTTCTTGTTTGATAGGCTGTTGAAAGGTGGCTTGTTGATAGAGCAGTTTTACCTATAGAAAACTCTTTAGGGGGGAGTATTCACAGGAATTATGACCTTTTACTGAGACACCGTCTACATATAGTTGGAGAAGTCAAACTTGCAATTCGGCACTGTTTAATGGCTAACAATGGCGTCAAAATTGAAGACCTGAAAAGAGTTCTTAGCCATCCTCAGGCATGTTTCTTTTGCTTCCTAATTGTTTATATGCTTGACACACATGTTTATTTATCGAAAACCTGGTTGGTACATAGGCTCTTGCACAGTGTGAGAACACATTAACAAAGTTAGGGTTGGTCAGAGAAGCTGTGGATGATACTGCTGGTGCAGCCAAGGTGAGACAATATTCTAACTTCTGCAACTTTTGGAATTTAGAAGATTCTGTAATTGGTCTGGTAAATTATACTTAGTTGATTCAACCAGTTATCTTGAGATTTTTGAATCATGATATGTTTTCTTTGATTATTTCTGCAGTATATTGCTTTCCAAAAACTAAAAGATGCAGGGGCAGTTGCAAGTTTGGCTGCAGCTAGGATCTATGGTTTGAACGTGCTTGCACAAGATATTCAGGTGTGCAGAAGTCTGGTTTAACAATCTAGCTGTCGACAACATTTTAATTAGTTCTCTGATGTATTTTTCTTTCAGGATGACTCTGATAATGTTACTCGCTTCCTTATGCTGGCTAGGGAGCCCATTATTCCTGGTACTGATAAACCATTCAAGGTTAGTTATTCAGTTTAGCAACTCTTCAAATGCGGAGCAAATACTTTATAACTGAATTCATATGTTTTTTATCTTCAAAAGTTACTCTCACCGAATTCTGTGGAATGTGCTTATCTACTGATCGTGACAGACAAGTGTGGTCTTTTCGCTCGATGAAGGTCCTGGTGTGCTTTTCAAGGCACTTGCGGTTTTTGCTATGCGAAATATCAACCTTACTAAGGTTAGTCTATCTCTGCTGAAAATACTCTGTTATTTCTCAGGCCACAGGTAAGATATACTAAGTCATTTTTTTTTGGATGTTCTACTTTAAATTTTGGGTCAGATTGAGAGTCGTCCGCTGCAAAAGCAGGCTTTGCGGGTGCTTGATGATAGTACAGATGGGTTTCCAAAGTATGCATCATACATGTCTTCCTCTACTTTTGCAGTTTCTAAATGCTAGTACCATCTTATGATCAGAAGAACGTTTAGTTACAATGTCATTGCATTGCTGTTGTGCACTTCCTAATTGTGTGCGACATGCTTATGCAGATACTTTCCTTACCTTTTCTATGTGGATTTCGAAGCATCTATGGCTGACCAAAGGGCTCAAAATGCTCTGGGGCATCTCAAGGTACTTCTTAGACATACTTGATGTTGTAGTATTTATTGGTCATTCATACAGGAAGGAGCAAAGTAATACCACTCAAAAGAGTTGTCGAAGTGTATAAGGTGATTCAGGGTAGCTCACTTGTGGGATACCTAATCCGCCCCTGTGTAGGTGGGGGTTCGATTTTCTATAGAGTATTCCCCTCTCCCATTTCTCCCTCCCCTTCCTCCCTTTTTTATAATAATTTTTTTAAAAAAAAAAACGAATTCACTAGTGGGTAGTTGAACACTGAACGAGAATTGTTTTTTCCTTGCAGGAATTTGCAACCTTTTTGCGAGTATTAGGGAGTTACCCTTCAGATAGTGGTGTAGCTTGACATTTACAAGGTATTACTTGAATGTTTGAGAATTTTTGTGAGAGATCCATTATAGATACCTTTTTTGCTCTTCTCTAATAAAAAATATTATTTTGCTCAAGGGGCTTATTGCCTTTGGCCTGATAGATAAACATTCATGTCTTTTTCCTGTTCAATGTTGAAGTAAATTGTGGCCTATATGGAAAAAGGAATACGGGAATATAGGACAGAGAATCCTCAAATTAAGTATAACCAAAAGAGGAAACAGGTAATCAGAAGAATAGCAGATCTTTTGGCTTTTAGTTTTTAGATGCCCCATCCTTCTACTCGTATCCGTCATTTCCTTCTTTTTTCCAGTAACCCCACCCCCACCCCACCTCCAAAAAAGTAATTTCTTTTTGGCCTAATGAAATTTAATGACATGAGAGGGGAAACTACAGTTGAATAGTCTATAAGGTTAAGCAATGACGAAGCTAATATGAATTGCAAAAGCCTAAACAGAAGCATCTTGACTAGAATTGCTAGTTGATATAGTCAGGCTTGGCATGTTAGTTGATGTTTACTTATTCTTGATTTTGTAATACTTTTAGCCAAATCTGAACTTAGCAATTCGCATTACTAGCATTAATTGCTAATGCAGGCAATCACACTCTATGTAAGACGCACGCTGGTGAAATTGGTATTTACTCTATCCAATTGCTGCAATGTCATTATAGATACCATGCAGCACTACAGTACGTCCTCAGCGGTTCTGTTGATACCATGATACAGTTTTCTTTTGCCTAACTGCAATTTGATACGTGTAATTACTGGTGTTCTTTTTTTTTTAAATTAAAAAATATCCCAGAATCTATCCTCTTTTCTTGTGTTCCTCTTTATTTTCAATCCCAGATCCGTTTCCTTAGGTTCCCGGGTCCGGATCGTATTGGTTTTTGAAGGAGTGAAATGTAGAAGAGCAGAGAATAGATGTATTCATCTGTCTTTTGTTAGAAGTATTTATTTATCAAGAACAGAGATGATTATTGCATCTGGCAACTTGCAACTAGTGTCGGTGCTCTTACAGACAGGTAATTAACAACTGGTCTTTTAGTTGGCTCAAACTATTATAAATGCTGCCTTGCTTGTTAAAAATTGATAGACGAGGGAAATTTATTCTGAATTTGTGGTCAAATTTCTGAAAGGACCAAAAGGTGTCCCCATCTTCTATAGTAACTGCTAGACAGAGACCGACCTATAGTGATAGAAGTGGGTTCAATTTAACCTATTTTTTCTTTTTATGCGCGCGCACACACACACACACACTAGTCGTTTTGAGCTCATTTCCAATAAACACAACATTTTGAAACCCTGTTTCATCTGCTACTAGCATAGTTGACGCTCAACGGCTCAATGTAGGAACAAAAACCAGACATGGTTTTGCTGGGTTCGCATCAACTCACTGGCTTTGCTTGGTCGTATTTAAAAGTTGATCACTTTCTAAAATGAAATTCGTGGTCTGACTATTAGTTTTGAAATCAAACCTAAGATTCATACGAGATCCACTTTGGAACTTCAAACCACCGGTCTAATTCCGAAAATGGTTAGTTTCCAAATACGAAGCCACAAAAGTGGCTATTTCCCAAACCTGAAAAGAAGAAAATGTTTAGGTTCTTCATGATAAGGCATAAACGCCAAATTTCAGGATAAATATAGCATGAAGGACAAACAATGTACCATTTGCATGGAACTTTTAATTAAGAAAAGACAATGTTCTATAATTTGTGCATGCCTCTGAGCTGTACTTTCCACATTTGATCCAACACTAGTGAGCATTACGTGCAAGATAACACTAGAGATTGCGTTTGCTTTAAGTCCATGCACAGACCTTGAATAATTTTTCTTTTGGAAAAAAAGATACAGGCTTACAGCCACTACTTTCCACTCTCCACTAAAACAAGATGCTTTATAGACTAGACAACGAGAGAAAAAGAGAGACAGATATTCCTATAAAAGGAACAAAAATGGGTCATAAAACTCAAAATATTACCATAGGGATCAAGAATTGACAAGTCCCAACTTAGTAGGTGTGTCCTAACTTACTATCAAGTTGGAGTTCCTACTCGCTATTTGCTATATGAAATGAAGCCAAAAAAAGCTCCTTTCTTCCAATTAGATTTTCTCTTTACCTCTACACGACTACATTTGTTTTAGCCTCTTTTGATTTACTTCATTTATCCTTGCTAATCCCTATTCTCACTAAAAAGAAATAATTAATTTCCTACTGAGTGATTTCTTCAACTAAGAGAAATTATAATGTTTCATAGAAGAAAGCCATTTGCCCGAGTACATAACGTTTCACCAAGATTTCATTCACTTCGCCAAAATACACATGAGACTAATGGTTCAAGGATAAGTTGACATTTGCTTTCCTTTTTATTTACTAAATTTTCTCGTATGTTTGATTGGCCAAAACATATAAGGTTTCACCTTAATTGCAGGATATTTACCAACATCCAAAAGGCAAAATTCTCATCCATCACATAACAGAATCAATTTTGACCCCGTTTTCGTGAAAGAAAAAAAAACTCTCCACGTTAAAACCTCAGTCGTGTTTATCCGGTATAGTTGAAATTGTAACGTGGTTTATAGACATATGAATTAAATTGATCCAAGAATATGAAATAAATAAGAACATAAATAAGATTATTAAAATAATCTTGAACAAAATACAAGCCTAGTTATGAACTTAGCTTCTCCGGAAGCAGTGATAAAAATAATATCAAGAACAAAAGAAAGAAAGTAGATTGATAAAATAAGAATACATTTTGGCTTTTGCGGACAGAATTTTACGTGTCCTCTCATTAATACAAATTTTCCTAACTATAGCTTTAACGGGGAGATAAGATTCCCAAATCAAGCTCTTCTTTAATGTGAATAAATCTCTTTTTCTTGATGGTTGCCTAACGGTTGGGCATTAATACAAAGATTCTTTGTAACGAGTTCTTATTGAATACTGTCTTTTCTAACCGATGTCTTCCTTTAAAATCTTATGTAACGACCCGTCCGGTTGTTTTGAGAGTTATAGCCCTGATCCCCTATTTACTGCCTCCCTCGCATCTTTTTCTTCTTATGTGACTTGCCGGGAGGTTTCGTTTTGGTTTTTGGAGTGTTTTGGGACACTTAGTCCCTAAATGGAGGCTTAAGTCTTAGGATTTGGACCGTAGTCGAAACTGGGCGAAGACGACTCCGGAACGGAGTTCCGTCGATTAGGTTAGCTCCGTTTGGGTGATACTGGACTTAGGAGTGTGTCCGGATTATGTTTTGGAGGTCTGTAGCTGATTTAGGCTTGAAATGGTGAAAGTCAAATTTTTGGAGATTTTGACCGGTAGTGGACTTTTTTATATCGGGTCGGATTCCGATTCCGGAAATTGGAGTTTTAGGACTTGTTGGTGTGTTTGGTTGTGATCCCGGGGACCTCGGGTGTGTTCCAAATGCTCAACGGATCATTTTGGACTTTGGAAAGATAGCAGGTTTTTTCTGGTATTTTTGTTGCAGAAGTTTGTTCTTCGCGTTCGCAAAGGGGAGCCTGCGTTCACGAAGGTGTGGTCAGTGGAAGCATCGCGTACGCGGGGCTTAGAGGAAAAAGGGACAGCTGGGTCCCCAGGACTTTTGCCTACGCATTCGCGAGGTTAGTTCCGCGTTCGCGTAAAGTTGAGCTAAGTGGTTTTCGCGTTCGCGACAAGGTCATCGCGTTCGCAATGAAGGATTTCTGGGCTAAAGCGAGTTTGTGCTTCGCGAACATGAGGGTCCTTCCGCGTTCGTGAAGAAGAGAGCACCTGGGCAGATTTAAAAGTTCAAAATCGAGAGTTTATGTCATTTTTCACCATTTGGACTTGAGAGCTCGGAATTAGGCAATTTTAGAGAGATTTTCACGTGGGTGTTTGGGGAAAGTGATTCTTACCTAGTTTTAGTTAATTTCTATGATTATATCTTTAATTTTATCATTAAATTAGGGATTTGGGGTGAAAAAATAGGGAAAATTTTGACAAAAGTTCTTAGGCCGAATTTTGGGGTTTTGATCGAGATTTTGGTATCAGATTTGAGTAATGCTGGTACGAGTGAACTCGTGAGCGAATGAGTGTTCATATTTTGTGACTTTTAACTGATTTCGAGACGTGGGCCCAGGGAGGCTTTTGAGGCAATTTTCTAATTTCTTACTTTAGCTTTGATTTCATTAGCTAGATTAGTTTCTCGTAGTTATATTTATGATATGTAATTGATTTTGACTAGATTTGAGCCATTCGGAGTCGGATATTCGTAGGAAAAGCATTGTTACGGATTGATTTGAGCTTGTTTTGAGGTAAGTGACTTGCCTAACCTTGTGTGGGGGAACCCCCCTTAGGATTTGGTACTGTTCTGATATGTGAGCGCCGTGTATGTGAGGTGACAAGTGCGTACACGTGTTATTTGTTGTAAAATTCGATTTGTACTGAGTAATAACCTCTTTCTTCTTATTTGGGTTTGATAGAATATAAAAGTCCACCAAACTCTATAGAGAACCAGGTTCTCTATCAGGTTCAACAGAACACACGCACACTGCATTAAATAAATGACAAGAGGAATTTTACGTGGAAAATTCCCAGCTCAACGGGATTAAAAACCACGACCTACCCTTGTAGGATTTTAACTTCACTACTGAGCAACTTTTAGATTACAACCTATGCAACCTAGGAATTAACCTCTTAATCCCTCACTAACTTGTAATACTCTATTACAAACCACTTTATAATAACTCTATTACAAAGACTTTACAACTTGACTAACTCTAGCCAAGACTCAAACACACAGGTTTAAGATTTACAAAGGGTTTCCTACACACTACTTCTTAGTAAGCTAAGCAGGAGTTACAAGTAAGAACATTAACAAAGTTACAACTCAACTGAGGGCACAATAACTCGATGCGGGAACTGGTCCGTAGTTGTTTTGTTCTTTGTTCTTAAAGCACTTGAGACTTGCTTGCTGGATGGTCACGTGAGTGAGCTTGAGTGAAATTTCTAAGTGTTCAAGTAAATGTGTTTTACCTCCCTTGATGGTAATAATACATGTGTGACCTCACATACAATGATGTAAGCGAGGTAGGTAAAAAGCCTTTCACAGAAAGTTGACTGCTGCACTGTTCTTGTGCTGTAGCGTGTGCAGGCAACAACTTTTCCAGCTGGAAAGTTGACTTCATACAGTCACCTGGGGAACTGGTAGGGACCTGTTCCCTCAGCTGTTCCTTTTACTCTGAAGAGTTGAACCATAACACAAAAGCTGGACCTTATGATCTTAAGGTCTTGAGAATGTGTGACAGGTTCATTATCTGGTTCTTGATAGTAAGTTTGTTAGATCATCAAAACATAAAACAAAGTACTTATGACCAAGATACTTGTAACCTATCGGGTTCTATCAACATTTGTAATTATCCTGTTTAGCTTAGAACAACATGTCTACGTGCCTTAATTGCTTATCTAAACTTTGTGCAACATGCTTAGTGGGTTTTCCTATTTTTCCTTGACTTGTACTTAGTCCAAACTGTAGGTTTTCTTGCTGTAACTGTTATTTCCGTTGTTTGAGTTGCATATTTACTTTGGGACTACGGAACGGTATTTCGGGGATCTCCCTGCCTTGCATATTTACTTTGGGGCTACGGAATGGTATTCCGGCAGATCCCCTGTATATTTACGTTTGGGATTACGAGACGGTATCTCGTGAGAGCCCCTGTTGTTATCTCTGTGTATTGAGCTGTTACCTTTCTATGATTTCATTTTTGTTAAATTTCGGTCTTTATTTTTTTACCGTGATATTTCATTGTCTTATTTTTATTATATCTATACAAGTAGGGCCCTGACCTGGCCTCGTCACTACTTGACCGATGTTAGGCTTGTCACTTACTGGGTACCGTTATGGTGTACTCATGCCCTTTCCTGCACATATTTTTCGTGTGCAGACCCAGGTACCTCCTACCAGCCTCGAGTTTAGTTGCACGATTGCTGCTGTTCAGGAGACTTCAAGGTACATCTACCCGCGTCCGCAGACCTTGGAGTCCCCTTCTATCCCTTCTTGTGTTAATTCTTCCTTTAATTCTCTAGATACTGATGTATAGAATAGTTAGAAATTTTTATAAACTTGTGCGGTATTCCGAGTTTTGGGATTGTTGTGTATATTTCGAGAGTTGATTATTGTATATGCCGAGCGGCATCTCAAATGCTTATTTAAATTATCTGTTGCTGTTAGTTGTTAGCTTTTATGTTTTTTATTTTATTTCCGCAAATGTTAGGCTTACCTAGTCGTAAAGATTAGGTGCCGTCACGACTGTTCACGGAGGGAGAATTTGGATGGTGATATCTTCGTTCTCAATTTCAATGTCTTCAGAACTTATTCAACACCGGTCACAATTTGTATTCGATGCCAACTATTTACTAATTCATATCTTACGTGTCTTCATTTCCACATGTCATATTGTGGTTCATCCACCTGTGGCTAATCAATTTACCCCATATAAGTAGGCACTTTAATTTTCTGCATAAAATAATATCCTTTTTTTTCTTTTTGAAATTACATACATAGTTTATTATGACTCACCATTTGACCAACGACTAAAAGGTAGCGTAAATTACAATTTCATTTCTAATAATCTGAATTTTCTCATTTTTACCACTCCATCCCTCTCTCCTTACTTCAGACTCAAAAATTAAAAGAAAAAACCGAATTTCCCATGGCAGTTAGTACCCATTTGGCACCCCCTGCAAATAAAATACGCATGAACTGAAATTCCAAAATCGGTGCCGCCATTAATAACAAAAACTCAGAGAAACGTACAAAGTACGATAAGAAAAGTGTGACTGTTTGTGTTTTCTGTGATCAGATCTGAAGAAAAATTAGATAGGATCCCTCTACACTAATTTTTGTTCAGTGTATGGAAAATGGAGTACATAGACAATTTGCCTCCAATGGATCTGATGCGTTCAGAAAATATGACATTTGTACAGCTTATCATTCCTGTTGAGTCGGCTCACCCTGCTATTACTTACCTTGGCCAACTTGGCCTTCTTCAGTTCCGTGATGTACAGATCTATACCTCTTTCTCGTTTCTTTATTTATTTGATTATTTAAATTTAATTAATTGCACCGACTTTATATTTATTGTATGCTAATTTTATGTATTTTTTTATAAGGATGCTAATTTTATGTATTAAGCTGGTTATTATTGTTGCTTTGTTGCCATGATCCACTGAGGTTCGGCCCTTTGTTGTTCCAATTTGAAATTAAAAAGATAACATTCTTTGTGTTGCTTGGATATTAGAACATTAATTATGGTAATGATGTGGATTTATTCCCTGTTGGTAGTAGAGAGGACTTGTCATGTTGGTGCAATTGGGATTAAGAGCTGATATAATAAAAGAGTTCTTTTTTTTTCTTTTTTAATTAAGACTTGATATGGATGATACATTATGAGCTTAAATATTGGGATTGGAGTGAGTAAGGAATTGAGGTTGAATTAGTTTTGATCACATTATGATTTGAATGGCTAGAAATGAGGGCCACAAAGTATCTTTGTAGTATTCCTCTAGCTACTAGATCTGGTTGATATTGTGTTTAATAATCTTTTCATCTTTTCAGAGCTGCCGTCTTCGTCACTAGTTCCTCAGTTTTATTTTATATGACGATATTTGATTGGATGCCGTTTAAGTTAGTTTGATAGAGAAACTGATACAAAGAAATTTTTTTTTGATAGAGAAAACATCACATGGAAAGCAAAAAGTTGAATTGCTTAATTAATTGGAAGTCTTGAAAGCTATGAAAGTTCTATATAAATAGAATGGTATCAAAATGGAATGAGTTTCATATAAATTGGGATGGAGGAGGGAGTATTAGAAGACTGATGATTAGGAGCAAGTCTCTCGAGACTGATGGATCAATATCTTGATCATTTCTTAGATATGTTATGTAATGGTCAGATAGTCTGTGCCTTCTTTTTTGGTGTAACTGTTGTACCATCTTGGTATTTTATTAATAAAATTTTATCCCATCTTATAAAAAAAAATGTCTTTAGAGTTTTTCTTCATCCGTTTGGGCTGGTAATTAACACCATCCACCCACCTTTAACCAGATTTTGGTGCTCTCAAAGCCCTTACATGCTATAAGCCTCTTCACCATTGCCATTCATTTAGTCTGCACAAGAACTTTCAACCTTCCTAAACATATGACTAATGTTTTAATGTTCAAAGTCAGCTAGATGGAAACGGTTGTAAATGGTAAAATAAGGTAGTTCTCTTTACCTTTTGGCCTCAGTAAAGTTGAGTTATGGCGGATGATAACATGTTAGAGTCCCAAAAGATCTTCTAAGAGATCTATTTCTCTTTTTCCTCAGTTGTACACGTGATCAGGCCTCTTAAGTTGGAACAAATTGCTAATTGCTATCTTGCCTGAGCACAAGAGAAGTAGTCATCATTCTTTTTTCCTTTGTTTCCTGTGAATTTGATTTGAAAAAGTGTAGCTGCTTAAAGCTTACGAACCTTCAAGTTGTGATGATTTCTACGGTCACATCTGAAATAGTGACTACATATAGGAACTTTCTTTTGATCTCTAAGCTTGACAAAACACATCCTTATTAGCACAGCACTTATCCTAATTACTGAAATGCATCTCCAAAGGAGATAAATGAATTTTAAATTTCTTGGGTTTGCCTCTGATTATGCTAATGAAAAGAGAGACCAAGGAACTGGTTTACGCAAATTTGTCATCAAGTAATAAATTGATTTGCTTTCTAACGGACAACACATTTTTAGATATTAGATGCATTATTTGTATTGCAGGAAGATAATCATGACAGGGTACAAACTTTTGTTCCAAATCACCCTTACTTCTTTGGCCTCTGTTTCTTCTGAACAAAGAAATGTTGTAGGCAGGGTTGCTTTTTCTTTTGAAATTTGAAGTAGTATTTGAAAGATAGATTCATCTTTAAATCTGGGTATCTTAGTTCCCTTCATTAATAAAACATTTACTACATAAAGAAAAGGTTTTGATCTTGAAGGGCCAAAATGAAGTGTATTTCAATAAAACAGAATGTAATGTCCTTCTACCGAATTGTCTTGGTGCAGTGTCTGTATGGATTTAGTTAATATCTTAAAGGAATGAAAAGTTCTCTATGCTTGTTTTTGCTTTTGGAGTTGGCAGGAGGATGAGTAGAGTAGCCCTTTCCTTCATTCCTCATGTTTCAGGGTTACTATTAATCACATGATTTCGTCCTTTAGTCTGTCATTACTATTCATCTCTCTGACTAGATTTTGGTTGTGGCAAATTGATGTCTTTACTTATGCCTTATAATACAAATGTTTGGTATCTTTTGTCTGCGTCACCTTCTTTCTTGTTGTTAACTGGGAAACATACTCACTATTTAAGTTTTCCTTGTGCAGTTAAATGATGATAAGAGTCCTTTTCAAAGAACATTCGTAAACCAGGTATACACTAATAGTGAATATCACATCTTTGTGTTGAATATTCTAAATGTTGTTACCTCAGTGGAATTCGTCTGTGTCAATAACTTAATTTATTGAATTGTTAATCATTGTTAGCATGCATTTTTGACAAATCATAATCATTATTAACTTTTGCTGAAAAACTTTGAAAGTTGATGAAAGTCAATTGCTTTAGTCAAGATAAGAAGTACCTTTATCTTATCTCAGCTTGTAATGGTAGTGTAGAGTTACACTGAGGTTATATATAGGATATTGAAAATGTTTGAAGTAAATAATGTTGTTGCTATTCTTTATCTTCAAGACTGGTCTGATTTTAAGATAAACTCCTCCATATAATCCTGCACTGATGCTACTATGGTGATTGATAATTCATATTGTAAAGTCAACCTTAGTTACATGAAACATCTGATTGCTAAAATTCCTTTGGTGCAGTGAAAAGAGTGAAGCTCCATAGGGTAGGTGTTTTCACATTTTGGGTTGCATAATTAGTGCTAAAATATAAACGCCAACCTACCTTGATTCCTCAAGTTCTAACATATATTTGTCCCCATCTCTAGCTTCAACATCTAAAGCTAAGATATAACTAACATATCGATAAGAGCAACATAATTGATCTCTCCACTTTTTTGACTCCATTCTCCCCTCTTTTGTCTATTATATCCATTTTAATCTCTTTTTATTTTTTGTCTTCAGAAAACTCTTTCTTTTTCAAAATTTGTTAAAAAGGATACGCTTTAAATTTTTGATATAATATTTTGATTGACCAATTAAAGGTTATTTTGGACACATTCTAGTGGGAATAGTATTCAGTACTTTGCACTTAGCAAATATTAAAAAAAGAACTGAATTTCAAGCAATTCAATGGAACTCTCCTATGTGAGTTGCCTTCCTAATGTACTGGGGAACCACTACTAATTTTCGAAAGCAGCATGATACCTCAGTGTTTCTGCTGGCAAAGAGGAGGTCAATAACTTGGACTGAGAATTCAGCACGTAATTTGTTAACTTATGTATGGAGTTATTGAAGTCTTCTCTTTTTTATAAACAAAAAACTACATTACTAACAACCAAGTTGGTATCAAAAGCATTTGCAGATTTTATGGTGCAGTGTTGTATAATTATCTTTTCATTGTAATTGTGGATGATCTTACATAGGTAAAAAGATGCGCAGAGATGTCAAGAAAACTACGATTTTTCAAAGATCAGATACAAAAAGCTGGGCTGCTGCCTTCTCCGCGTCCTGCTTCACAACCTGATATTGAACTGGAAGAACTGGAGGTGTTTTTCTTCTTGCTGACAAATGAACGCCTACTTTCTTGTCCAAATCGTGTTTATGCTTCTTTTTTATTTTTTTCCTTTTTATACTTTTTTCGGTTTTAGTAAATCTCATGCAGACCTATTCCGAATTTCAGATACAACTTGCAGAGCATGAACATGAGTTGATTGAAATGAATGCTAATAGCGAAAAGCTAAGGCAATCATTCAATGAGTTGCTTGAGTTTAAGCTGGTATTACAGAAGGTACAATTTAAATTCTCTTTCTTACTGTTGCATTAATGAGCTGCGTCACATTTTGGGAAATTGGTCCATGCATGACTAATACTGCTGTCTGGATATTTCATCACTATGTGTATGTGTGTCATGCATTTGTATTTGTTATGTATACATGTGCAAGGTATTGGCTTGCATTAATGTCCATCTATTCTGCTTCTTCTATCCTCGCATTGAACTGTTTAGTCATAATTAGGGTGTAATGCTTTTACAGTTCAAAAAGCATGTCTATGTCAACCTCCATAGGGATTTTTTTATATTTCTAAATGCTTAAGCTCTAATCAATCAGCATTTATGCGCTAAGCTTTTAATGGCTTCTCAAGTAACATTGTTAGTTGAGAAATTGATTCTTCGTACTTAATCTGGTGTTATTAATGCCTGACATGGTGCTTGCCAATTATGTTTCCTTCAAGCTTTTGAAACTTCAAACCACTCAACAAACTTTATGGACAAATCTGTTCTAGTTAGTTGTACCTATTGGACCAAAAGTGATACTTTTTCTTATGGTCGGGAAATATTTGCCTTTTCAGAGCTATTCTCATTTCTGCTAACTATAACTCTGCAAATTTTAGGCTAGTGACTTCCTTGTCTCAAGTAGAAGTTATACAACAGCTCAGGAAACAGAATTAGATGAAAATGTGTACTCCAATCATAGCTATTCAGATACAGCATCATTACTTGAGCAGGTAATTGATTCTTTCTTGTTATTAGACTGATCCGGTGCATGATAATGATTATCTGTATCTATGAAGCATCTGAGATAAGGTTTCTTTCAATCTTCAGGAGATGCAACCAGAACTTTCAAATCAATCTGGAGTAAGATTTATTAGTGGCATTATCTGCAAGCCCAAAGTTCTACAATTTGAAAGAATGCTATTTCGTGCAACAAGGGGCAATATGCTTTTCCACCAGGCAGTTGCTGATGAAGAAATCTTGGATCCTACCTCAAATGAAATGGTTACATTCTTTCTTCTAAATTGTTCTTGCGTTAATGCCAGGAAATAGTTCTGTACACTGGTGCACTAAGAACTCTTTCCTAATAAAGGAAACTGTCCATGAATTATCTTCTCACTTTATGCTGTATGGTTTCATCAATAACTCTAATTCCCATTCATATTCTTATTTCTTTTTATCCTTGCTTATTGAAAATGGCTAAGTATCAAGTTCACTATGTGGTTAACTCCCAATTCTTGCTTCTGCAGGTTGAGAAAATAGTCTTCGTAGTATTCTTTTCGGGTGAGCAGGCGAGAACAAAAATATTGAAAATATGTGAGGCGTTTGGTGCTAATTGCTATCCTGTTCCTGAAGACATGACCAAGAGGAGGCAAATAACTCGAGAAGTATGTTGGTTAACTTTTTAATGCAGTCTTTCTGATTACTAGAAGAGTTTCATAGACATCATCATTGAATGAACTTGTTTTTCTGCACCAGTCAGTGTACTTTGGGATGTACTGCTAACAGGACATGGAAGAATTTCTTTTTCTTCTGTCTAGTATCTTTTGTGTTTTAATGTATATCTGAGGTCATATTATGCATGGAACAAAGTATACATGGAAAATGGCCAATATATTGGTTGCACAATCTCTAGCAGTATCGCTATGTGATGTAGCTTTCACATCGCACCAGTTCGATGAGTGTAACCCTAGCTCTCTTTTGTATATTGTTCTGTACGTATATTATCTCGATTGTAATCTTTTTGAACTGCCCTGCCCTAACGTAAGACTATTGGGATAACATCTTGAGTGCAGGTTTTGTCAAGGCTATCTGAATTGGAAACCACTCTGGATGTTGGATTACGTCATCGAGATAAAGCTTTAACGTCTATTGGATTTCACCTCACAAAATGGATGAACATGGTAAGAGTGACGACGACAGTATAAGTTGTCACTTTTATAATACAGTTTAATTTGTGGCTTGTGAGAGCAAGTCTTTCTGTGACCCTGAAATACGAGTTGAATGCTCAACTCTTTTTTAGGTTAGAAGGGAAAAGGCTGTTTATGATACATTAAATATGCTGAATTTTGATGTCACAAAGAAGTGTCTAGTTGGAGAGGGCTGGTGTCCAATATTTGCGAAGACTAAGGTACTCTTCTTTTATGTTATTTATGTTAGCAGTTACATATGCACTGTTTCCATATGCATTATTTATGATAGTATTACCACGTACATGCTTTTGACACGTTAGATACAAGAGGCTTTGCAACGTGCGACAATTGATAGCAACTCACAAGTGGGAATTGTATTTCATGTGATGGGTGCTGTAGATTCACCTCCAACATACTTCAGGACAAACCATTTCACAAATGCATATCAAGAAATTGTAGATGCGTATGGGTAAGTAAATGTATAGTAGCATTTAGTTATCGGCGAAACTGATTTACAATGTAATGAGTTAGGTGATGCTGTTAAGTTCTGCGAATAGAACGTTAATCATTGACATTCATGATTCCTTGTTGAATCTAGTGGCAGGCGCAGCAGCTTGTTCATCTGAAATTGCTTTAACTTGGTTTATGTTTGTCTATATGATTCAGTCATTCACGGCCTCATGGGTCATGCCATCTCCTTTAGAGTGTTACTGATTTTGATGATAAACAGTACGCATATTTGGCTGGAATATTTTCCTCCTTTTCCTTTAGTTCAGACAGTGACATTTGCAGTATGGTATTTATTATGCCCGAGGCAAAATGATATATACTTAAAACAGAGAGTCCAGTTTTCTTCCCTTTCTTTGTTCTTCTTACGTTATGTTATTAATTTGGGATACTTCAGCTCTTCAAATAAAATTCATTTTCATTTGTTTTCTTTAAATCTTATATGAAAAATCAATATCCATTTCTTATACCTTTCTGGCCTGTTTGGTTAAGATCAAGTGTAGAATCTTTAAATATCAAATTGAAATATACATGTCTTCTGTTGCTTCTGAAAACAAAAGCACTTACTAATGTCTACATTGACAGTGTTGCTAAATACCAGGAGATAAATCCTGCTGTTTACACCATTGTTACATTCCCTTTCCTTTTCGCGGTGATGTTTGGAGATTGGGGTCATGGAATTTGTTTGCTGTTGGGAGCATTGGTTCTTATTTCTAAGGAAAGCAAGCTTAGCTCTCAAGTATGTCCTCTCATTGTTTCAACCTCTGTCTTGGAGTACTTAACATCATTAATTATGCAATTATATATTCCTTATGTGATCAAATAAAATTTTCTGACAGAAACTGGGCAGCTTTATGGAGATGCTCTTTGGCGGTCGCTATGTACTCCTCTTAATGTCAATATTTTCAATTTACTGTGGCTTGATATATAATGAATTCTTCTCTGTTCCATTTCACATATTTGGTGGCTCTGCATACAAATGCCGAGATGCTTCATGCAGGTATGAATTATAACCTTGTTAAGTTTCCATATTGAAATACTTCGGTCTGTGATCTGCCAAAGTAATGATAATGCAATCTCTTATATGCTTCTGGTCAATACTGTGATTTGCATTTTTTAAGCTTCCTCACCCAGACCTTATTACTTGATCAAAAAAAGCTTCGTCGCCCAGACCTTTAAAAGGATAGCAAAGGACACTTTTCAACCATGTTGCAAATCTGGATTATACCGAACTGCCAAAAATAAGAGCGAAGAAGTGGTTGCTTTGGCTACAATTTAAGTTATGTTATTAGATCATAGATGAGAAATAAACTATTCTTTTTTTTGGGGGTGGGGTGGTGGGGGGGTTCAGATGGGGAAGAGTAGCTTTTGTCTCCACTCCTGCGCAGGATTTAATTTTTATTTTTGATTTTGTGATTAAGACTTCAATTCAATACGATCATAACAGGTTACTTATAACTACAAGTAGTCGAGGTTCTTTGGATGTTTCTAATAATTTGATCTCAGGTTAATGCCTCAAATCGCTTGGTTTTTGGGATTTTCTTAGTCAGGCTTCTTATATTGTTATGTACTTATGGTGAAGATTGGCTAAGTTTCTATTTGATTTCTACATATTTTTAAGTAGCCTCATTGCTTTCCGGTCAGGTACAAGACACTGTAGAAATGCAATCAAACAATCATTATCTTCTCCATATTTCTTGGACATATTCAGATATTGCTTTGCTCCTCAAATAATGTTTATGATGGTTACTATTGATAAAAAAAAATAATGTTTATGATGGTTACATATCATTCGTCTATACTGGCACCTTACTCTTGCCTCCCAATCTTTGAATGCACGTATAGCTTGAGTTCGCTTTTAATGCATCGTTTCCAGCCAGCCCTTTTACTTTTGCAATTTTTTAACTGGGATTTTGATGTTTGTATTTACAGTGACGCATATACAGTCGGTTTAATAAAATACAGTGATCCTTATCCTTTTGGTGTGGATCCAAGCTGGAGAGGTAGCCGTTCGGAGCTTCCTTTCTTGAACTCCCTTAAGATGAAGATGTCTATTTTGTTGGGTGTGGCACAGATGAACCTCGGAATTATATTAAGTTACTTCAATGCACGTTTCTTCAACAACACACTTGATATTAAGTGCGTATTCCCTTTTCTTCTGTCCCCTCTTGATGGTTTTCTCGTTGAAGTTATTTATTCTGTTATTGATTTGTTATCAGGTATCAGTTTGTGCCACAAGTGATCTTTCTCAACAGCCTTTTTGGATACCTGTCTCTCCTCATTGTTGTTAAATGGTGCACTGGATCTCAGGCAGATCTCTACCATGTTATGATTTATATGTTCCTAAGTCCATTCGAGGCTCTTGGTGAAAACCAGTTGTTTTGGGGCCAGAGTGTGCTTCAGGTATGTGCCATCGCATCTCTTTCTAATCTTCTGCTCTTAGGGTTCATTTGATCTGCAGACGTGATAAGGTAAAACTTTAATACCACCGGATTACGTTGTAGGATATGATGTTAATTAATGGAATATGGATAAGATTGTAACACTTGTGTCCCATGTTTGTTACAAGGATTTTAAATCTCTGTGACAAATTTCCTTGGCCTAAATGCATTAAATAACTTATTGAATAAGGATTAATTTGAAATGAAGAATTAGTCATGATAATGTATCTCTGTATATTTGTTAAAAGCTATTCGACATTAATTAAAAGCAATACGAACAAGAAAATAAAGAAAAGGTTGGTGGCCGTGTGTGGGTGGAAGGGGAGAGAGAAATCTGTGGAGTAAAAAAACCATTTGATATCATAGGATAACTTTTGTTCGCTTCTCCCCTAGGGATAATTTATCCAGGACTTGGGGGTGGGTTGTGGGGGCGAGATGATATTATTATATCATCTATTATCGAACTCTACATAGACAACCAAACAATTGACCATAATCCCCCCTCACCCCCAATCCATAAATGGAACAAACCCTTGAAAATCTCTCGTCCCTTGCTTCTTTGTTTAACAATTATTATTGCAGGTAATATTGCTGCTTTTAGCACTTGTTGCTGTTCCATGGATGCTTTTTCCAAAACCTTTTATTTTGAAGAGACTTTACACCGAGGTAAGTACATTTGGTTGTTTTACTGGGTATGTTGTTGTGTAAGTACATTTGGTTGCTTTTGCTTTCTCACCCATCACAATGAATTGAATACTGTACTATCTTGATGATCCAGAGAAAAGTATAAAGGAATGGATAATCAATTTTCTATTTAAAAGGGCACAAGTAATGGAATCATTGAGGATGTAATCTTGTTTTTCCTAAGAGTCAGTTTGTGATTGTTGAGTTGAGGGAATTCTTTTGTAGAGAAGAGAGGTTGGGAATTTAGGGTTGCCAATGGGCAGATTGACTAAATTGAAACAAAACAGGTTGAGTCACTAAAAGGGTCACGATCCAATCCTCCCAAAGTTTACTTGCGCAAGACTGGTTTATTCAATTTTGGCTATATAGTAATTGTTTAATCATCAAACCAGAAGTGTTTTGTCTTTCGTTATACACGCGCGCGCGCGCACACACACACACACACACACATATATATATATATATAACAAACAAAACAAAAGAAATTGTTTTGACTTTTGACATTTTTCTTATGGTTATTTGGGCTACCTTATTATGATTCTCAGAGATTTCAAGGTGGAACTTATGGCCTTCTTGGAACATCTGAGGTGGATACTTATGAGGAACCAGACTCTGCGAGGCAACACCACCACGAGGAGTTCAATTTTAGTGAGGTTTTTGTGCATCAAATGATACACTCTATTGAGTTTGTTCTGGGTGCCGTCTCTAACACTGCATCATACCTTCGGCTGTGGGCTTTGAGGTATATCCTTCATTTTTAATTGTTTTTATCATTAACTTCAGCTTGTTTTACGTTTCTACCAAATTGATATCTGTGATGTTGGTGCAGTTTGGCTCATTCTGAATTGTCTACTGTGTTCTATGAGAAAGTTCTCCTCCTTGCTTGGGGGTAAGATTCCATGACTTTTAGCTTTTTTGATGTTCAGAATTTCCTTGTTTAGACACCGCTCAGTGTCTTCATGGACGTTAATAGTAAAGTTCGAAGTTTACTTCTGTTAAAATGTCAAGTTGTTGAATCATGAATCTGGTGAATACATTTGGTTACTCAAATTTTCTTTGCAATAGTATGGATTTGGAGGTATAACAAGTATTCCCTCGGAACTAGCTCAGTTCTATTCTGCAATGGCTCTAATCTGTTTAGCAACATCTCATCCAAATTATTCGTATTCTTATGCTGAAATATTTGGTGTACACGATTATCTGCTCTCTTGTACTCATTGTAGGAAGTCACAGAGGATAGGTAAAATTGGCATTTATTTAGACTATGCTGAGAAGTGGAAGCATGAAAACAGACAACCTATCTGAATGCATATTTGCTACCATGTTCCACTACAAACTTACAAATCCTAGGGCTAAATTTGTTATTATGCTTTGGTCTCTCTACTAAACGCTAGTATCTTAACTTGAACCCGTTATGTCCTAGATATATCTCTTTTCCATTTTGCCTAAAAATAGCTCTTTAAAATATTCTCCACTTTTAGTTATAGCAATATATGTATGCAACAGACCCTTGTAGTCTGGTCCTTCCCCGGACCCCGTGCATAGCGGGAGCTTAATGCACCGGGCTTCCCTTTATGAATGCAAACAACTAAAAAAATGTCTAAACAATATGCACAATCCTGTGCTATGCCATGATATCTGGTGCTTATATATTATAATGATGCGTGGTGACTGGAACTAATGTATCAAGGTTCTTTATCTAGACAATATGCACACTCCTGTATGTGTTTGAGGTACTTTTATGTATCAATAGGAAACACATTTGTTCCCTATTTGAGTACTAAATTGATGTGGAATCAAAAGGCTTTCTCATTCTTTTGGTACCTAAAACTAGGTCTCTCTTCTACCATTATTTGATTGATATACAATTTTGTCAAAATCTTTTTCCTTTTTAGGTGAATGTTGTTGTGGCATTTTCTAATGAAATGACATGACAGTAAAGACCATATCAGTGCTTCCTTCTTGCCCTTGTGTCTCTCTAGTTTTGTTTTTCTTTTGGCTGAGAAAATTGATCCCAAGTCAAAGCTGGAGACCCAACTGGTCTAGCCAAACAATTTTCTCTCCACCAAGTCTTGGCGAATCCAGCAGTCGAAAAGCAGCGATGTCGACCCCATTGGTCTCCACTATCCCCATGTTCCTGAGAACCTCATGACAACTGTCTAAATAATCCTGGGGATCCTCAGAAGATCGTACCGCCATAAGTAGTAGTGGAGAGCTTAGTGAAACCTATCCAACCTCCACAAAGCCTCCGAAGACGTAGCTGATCCATCACCGGTCTGTGCGGCTGAAGAACGCGGTACATGACCTCGCCATCCGCAAATGAACAGAGTGAGGTTCAATTTGCGTNATTCATGGAAAAACCTGAAAAACCTTACAGGGATTTTGGAAGGACCCAATTTTGGCTGACTACTATTGCGCGCTTTCTTTTGATGAAGCAGCTGGCTTTTAGCATAGAATTGTAAAGTTGTGACACACATAATCTTTCAGTATAGTGGTAACAAAAGGGCTCTGCTTGAGGTAATAGTTAGCTGTTAAAGAAGAGATCTGTAAATTTTTCTTTATAAATACTTTACATATTGTTTCCGAACACGAATGAGTAAGTTGTTTGTAAAGAGGGAAGTCTTTATAGCATTTATCTTAAGGGTATCTCATTCTTTTTGTGGAGGCAAATTTACAGAATCAGCAAATACATGCTCCTTGTATACATTTTATGAGTCTCTACAGATTTGTTGACAGAAGCCCCTCTTGAAATGTAATGCTCCTGAATCCTGATGCTTCATCTCTTTGTTTTTTTTTTTTTTTTTTTGAATCGCCAAACTTTGATAAATGAAATGGTCAAATTTAGTAAATTTGAATTAAATAACTACTGTATTAGCTTTTCTTATCTTTAACTTATGGGATCCAACATATTCTAACCTCGCTAATGAGGTCCATGACACAGAAATTGAAATTTTCTGCTTGTGCATTTAGATTCTCATTTGATACTTCTTCAGAAACTAGATATCTGAATAATAAATACAAAAATAATAAATTTGATGAATATCCATTTTTATAGTCTAATTTAACCACATCTTGTCGAGTTAAAAAAAGGAATAGGGGCACAATGGAAAATGACAGGAGTGTGCCTCTTTTCTCTCTCTACACGAGTGTGTTGCTGAGAAATAAATTGAGCAACATACAAAATTGATCAGTTGGTCAAAACCAATTGCATTTGTGAACCAAAAAGACAAAATTGATTAATTGTATTTGTAAACCAAAAAGTATATATATATATATATATATATATATATATATATATATATATATATATATATATATATATATTATTGGTTATTATTTATTGAAACGACAAAAAATATATATTTCTCAAATAAATTTATCAATTAGGCGTCTCTTTCATCTGCTTTCCGTATATTTCAGTCTATCTTGACTTTAGAATTCTTGAATTAAACGTTTTGTACATGAGACATATATAGAGACATGATTGATTTGTAAATAGATTTATGATTAACAAATCTGTAGGCCGCCTATACTACGTTTTAGCCAGAATGTTCAAAACTGACACTCCCTCTTAACAGTTTACCACTTTTCCAATGCGAGAAACTTTTAGGAAGTTCAAACTTTTTGCTTGAAATCTCATTCTTTATTACGATTTGCCTATTCGAACTCTCTAAAAAATTTACTTAATTTGAATAATCACAACTTCGTTGCTATAGATCTTGAAAATAATAGAGCACAATAGAAGACAAATTTATAAAGGTGATAGTAATGGTGATTAAGTTTCGTTAATGTTGGTACATTATTTTAGGTCCAATATTGTTAGGAGTGTTAAGATTTACATACCGATTTTAAATGTAGCTTCTAATGTTAGCAGCGTCTATTATTGGAGAACTTGAAAAATAATGATTCATTTAGCGGACTCTAATGACCTTTAATTTCCTCGAGATTGAAATGTTACTTGAAGGTACTAGTCTACTACATGAAAAATTACGAAACAGAGAATAAAAACAAATGGTAAAACCACGGCGAAAGCCATGTAAATCATGTTGGTATATATATGTATAGGGGCATTATTATATCAAATCATTGGTTGACCTTGAACTAATCACGAGTTCTCAATTGAGTTGTTTAGATATGAAATTTCATTTTTAGTTAGGGGTTTCGATTTTAAAAAATATGGTATAGGTTCATCTCTCAATTAATTCAGGTTCAAGGAAAGGTGACCGAAGGTACCCAAACTTTCGATCTCTTCTCTATGGCGGGAGGTTTCTTTGGGAGAAATTCAAAAATAGCCAGATTTACAAGTGGTCGTTCAAAAATAGTCATGTTTCAAAAGTAATCGAAATTTAGCCACTTTTCATGTAAAGATAAATCTGAGCGAAAACACTATTCAAAACCCGAAAAATACGTCAGTATATTATGCTGGAGTTCCAGCATAAGTATACTTGAACTCCAGAATATTATACTGGAGTCCCAGAACTCCAGCATAATATACTGGAGTTCCAGCAAAGTATACCGGTCCAGTATAATATGCTGGAAGTTCATACACAAGTGCTCGAATCTCCAGTATATTATGCTGGAACTTTCCGTGTGTTGGAGTTCCAGCATAATATGCCAAAAGTTCATGCACAGGTGCACCGAACTCCAGTATATTGTGCTGGACCGGTCTCTGTTGCAGCAAAATAGTGGCTATTTTTCATTGACTTGATAAATGCTGGCTATTTTTGAATGGCCAGTTCGAAAACTGGCTAGACCGTGCTATTTTTACGGTTTCTTTCGTATCAAAAATGTGTTGGGCGGGCCAGGGAAGATGAAATGGATAAATTCCACTAGGATTCCCACGAAGCAAGTGGAAAGGAAGTGGAGAGAGTCCACTTTAAATATTCCATCCTAATCATACTTTAGAAGATTATTTTTGGAATTATATATAATAATGATTTCTTTCTTCTGCTTTAAGAGATGCAGACTATTTTGGATAATTTATTAAACGAAATAAATATTAAAATTTGAGGATACATCTAAATTTCTGTATAACAATTATTTTAAATTTTCAGACAATTTATTTAACACAATTAACAAAAAATAGGAAATGCCCAACTAGAAGACAAAATACTTTCACATGCTCATGCAATTCTAAATTACTATCCTTGGTCCATACCATTCATATTTCAAAGTTTTTATACACCTTGAATTTAATAGTTTTAATTATAAAAATATTGGTCTAAAATACCTTTATCTCTCTCTTATGCCTCATTTAATTAACAATAAAAAGTACGCTTCTTATTTCATAACCTCAAATATTGTTGAACAAATTCAGTTGATCAAAACCAGTAGTATTTGAGATAAGATAAAGTAATAATTAAACAAAAGAAAAGAGGGATAAAGCATACGACGTCGTATGAAAACTGTTATATACCACCGAAAGGCAAACCAGTGTTATTATCTAAAGAATGTAGATGTATCTTATACCTGCAATGTGTCAATTATCCAAGCGTCCCCTACTGTTAACACAAATACATATATAATAATTTCCTACTAGCTTTTAAGAAAATGTCATGGTTTTAGTACTTTCTACTCTACCAAATCCAAAAACTTCAATTTCTATAGTAGAAAAGGAGTAGATTGATTAAGGAGAGATGGAGAGGGTGTACAAGGTTTCTGGTGGAGATGATTTAATGGAGTTTTATAAAAGAGAAATTGGGTTTTCTCACCCCAGAAATTTCTCTCGTCGAATCTCTGCTTCTGAGGTTTGATTTGTTCCCTCCCGGTTTTTGTTGTACGAGCTTAAATTATCATCTCTTTGAATTTATTATTTTGGGTTTGATTTTTGTGATTTTTTCAGCTGATTGAACTGTATATGAATACTTTCTCTAGTTTGATCAAATTCTTTTTTAATATGGTCAGTACTAATACTACTGCTACTATAACAACAACAACTACACCTCGGTCTCAAACAAGTTGGGGTCGGCTCTATAAACTATGTTAATCCATTTAAACTCATCTCTTACAGATGACTATTATAACTGATTCAACTAGCTTGGAGATGAGGGCTAACTGATATAATGGTTAAATATTAAAACACACACTCTCTTTCACACACACAAAAAGAAAAAACAAATAAACAAACAAAGGTATTCGACCTGCTAATGTTTGGTTGTGGTAATATTGGAGTTGTGGATATGACTTGATTAATACCTACAAATGTTTTTGGATTAGTACTGACAAGTTTATTCCTAGCTACCACTTTCTAACAATTTAGCATCCAGTAGAATGGACTTGATTTTTTTTTTTTTTTTTTCATTTTCAATGATTTTCAGAATTTTTGGGGACTTTGGGACTAGAATTTTGAATATGTTTAATCAGATTCCTTCTTGATGGCGATATCTGATGTGAGATTGTTGTGACTTACAGTATGCCAAGATAGATAAATAATGATGCCTTTCATACGCTGTAATGATCAAGTCTCTGTTACTGCTTAATTTTCGTATAAAGTCATACTTCAATATGCAAAGTTTTCACATTTAAGGTGAAGGTAATTCAGATCCATGTGGAAATTTATTCGGTAAATAATGAAGATAAATGATGATACTATTTATCTTTAAATAATGTGGAGTTTTATTCAAAAAGATAAAGAAATAATGACACCTTTCAGCTTTAATGACAGTCTCAGCTGCTACTTATGTTCGCGTAACTTCATACTTTTATATGTAAAATATTTCACATTGATGTGAAGGTAATTCAAAATCTATGTAGAATTATATTCAGCTATGTCTAAGGTGCTTGAAAGTTCATGTGCCCTAGAAATTTTTTGGCTAATACATTGTGCGCCACTGAAGAGTTCATTTTGTAATCTTGTGAGTCAGGCTATGGTCAAGCGACTGGATTTATATGGCAAGTTAACCGGTCATGAAGGATGTGTAAACACAATAGACTTCAATGCCACCGGTGATGTACTTGTCTCGGGTTCTGATGATAGAAGAGTGATACTATGGGACTGGGCAACGAGAACCTCAAAGCTGTCTTATCCATCAGGTCACATGGACAATATATTCCAGGCAAAGTTCATGCCCTTCGCGGATGATCGTAAAATAGTAACTGCATCCGCTGATGGTCAGGTATGTTTGCCATCTTACGCACTATAATATATGGAACATGCGAGACAGGAAACATAGAGCAAATGTTTTATTGAATGGTTCTGGCAATAGTATTTAAATGCGACATTTTCTTTTGTCCAAGTATAATTTCACACATTTGTTATCTGCATATATTTACATTCAGCTGTAGTTTCTGTATGATGAAGCGATACTTTAGACCTGCTGAGTCTGCTGCTTCATATCTCTAATTTGACAAAGGCCAAAGAAGATGATTGTGGCTCTGACTCCTATGTGCTTATTTCAACATATTGCAAGCACTGCTGCAGGTGAGGCTTGGTTTATTGCTGGAGAATGGTCGGGTAGAAACAAAAAGAGTAGGTAAGCACCAAGGTCGTGTACATAAGCTTGCTGTGGAACCAGGAAGTCCCTACATACTTTATAGCTGTGGTGAAGATGGTTTTGTTCAACACGTAGGTCGCGACGCGCTTCTTTACTTGTTACATTGTTCTCTTTTCATGTTATTTTGCCGTGACTTGCATTATTGTGCAGTATGATCTGCGCAGTAATTCTTCCTCAAAGCTTTTACGTTGCTCATCATTTGCGGAAAACAATAAGCACTCGAGCAGCATAAGGTTGAATGGCATTGTGATAGACCCAAGAAATCCTAACTACTTTGCTGTAGGAGGTTCCGATGAATATGCACGTGTATATGACATCAGAATGTACCAAATGGATGCAAGAACCAGTTCGGATAGGCCGATCAACACATTTTGTCCTCATCACCTGATTAAGACAAATGATGTTCATATTACAGCACTGACTTACTCAAACACAAGTGAATTGCTGGTTTCATACAATGACGAACTGATATACTTGTTTCAGAAGAACATGGGATTGAGTCCGGCTCCTTTGTCTTTGCAAGGTGAAGACTTGGACAAGCTTGAAAAACCACAGGTTTATTCAGGACACAGAAATTCACAGACAGTTAAAGGAGTGAGTTTCTTTGGTCCGAATGATGAATATGTATTGACTGGGTCTGATTGTGGGCATATATTTATCTGGAAGAAAAAGGACGCCAAGCTTGTCCGCTTGATGGTCGGTGATAGGCACATTGTAAATCAGCTTAAGCCCCATCCCTGTATCCCTGTTCTTGCTACATGTGGAATAGAAAAGACCATAAAGATTTGGGCTCCCGCATCCAAAGATGTTACTCCTTTGCCTCCTGATGTTCAAGAGGTGCAAATCCTAGCACTTCTGTTAAAGTTTTCATGTTTGTCTAATACCTGATGGCTTATGATTATTCCACTTTGTCTTGATCTAAGCAGATAATGGAAGCTAATAGGCGAGGCCGAGAGGACCATTCAAGGGTTACGCTGACCCCAGACATGATAATGCATGTTTTACGTCTGCACAGGAGGCAAGCACTGGCTTATATTGAGAGACGAGAAAATTCGGAGGATGTTGATAGTGACGAAGATGAAGGGGGAGGCGCTTTCGTGTTAGGATTCTCAGATGGTGAGGAGGGAGAAAATTCCGAATGCAGCATTAGCTAGTCCATATGTTTCGTATCCGCCAGCACAATTTTCTTTTTCTGCTTTACTTCGCTCCTCGCTGAGGGCCATTTTTACTTCTATCATGGCTCGGTCAGTTCATGCATCTTATAGTGGTTGAGCATTCACATGTTCAGAGAAACATCTTTCTTTAAAGATGGTGCTGGCTGCCATGTTCCAACAAACATGGTTAATAAGTGGGTGGTGTAATCTGTAGCCACTATCAAATTGAATAGTTCATCTGTAAATTCTTCTATCCTATCCTGGCCAAGTATGAAAGAATGGTTTAATCTTAAAAGTTTGTTCCTTTTTCAGAATCCATCGTTTACCTGGTATATGTTCTTTGTCCTTCTGTGGACTTCATTATCTGGAGTCAACTCAAGTCCCAAGCTATTATCTTATCTTGCATTATCTACATTGACATTGCACAGCAACAAAGTTGCTAACCGATAATTTTGCACCAATTTACGCCCTACAGATGTATTTAAAGGACTAATATACTGTCTTTCCAAAGAGCTTATCAACTCATGTAACTGAATAAAGCACAATATTTCACACTACTACAGATGTATATGCTTCTTAAATCATACTAACAAAAACTCCTTTCATTTACTGGGCATATCATTTGGTTTATCGTTCATATTTTTGTACTTGTAAAAGGAAGCAACCACAAGGAAATAATTGAAGTTTACTGATCCCAGGATACAACAGAGCCAGAAGACATTGTCCATTCTTCCATCATTGATATTGTCAGGCAACCATCCTGATTGTCTTTGAACCAGATCAATCAACACGTTCCCCAAATAGAACGCGATGCCAATAAACAATGAAACCATTGCAGTCGACGTGTTCTTCAATGATGTTGGAAATTCTTGGTAATAAAACGCGATATGTCCTGGAAAATGAAATCCTTCTCCAATTCCATTCAAAGCTAGCTGTGGCAGTAGCCAAAAGACCGATAATGGAACAATGGCATCCGTTTGTCCTTGTAGGTGGTGTGATCTACCAATCCTTAGTCGCCAAGACTCCACCAGCGCGGAAGCAGCCATGCACGCTATAGTTAGTGCATGGCCTATTCCAACGCGCTGAAGAGCGGTGAGAGTAAAACTGGTGTACTTAGCTAGAAAAGGGTTGAGTAGTCGGTCTATGAAAGATATAGTTATACAAGTGAACAACAATATGAAGACTAACATAGAACCAGCTGGAATCTGGAAATGAGGTTCCATATGTCGATCCATTTTGAGAGCCTGAAGTGTTAACAGGCTTAATTGCATGACTAGTTGTGTGGATATAAGTAAACCACTAGCCCACAGAGGGAAAAGCTTGATCAAGCTTTTCAAATCTTCAACTTGTTGTACTGTACATAGTCTCCAGGGGTTCCTAATCGAGCCGTCTGATTTGGTGTCTCCCTCAGTAATAAAAGCTGCACAATTCAAGAACCAGTACAACATGACTAGATCAGCTAATGAATTTGACAGAGGAAAATATAAGGAGAAACAACACCACCACCACCACCACCAACAACCCAGTAAAATCCCACAAGTGGGGTCTGGAAAGGATAGTGTGTACGCACACCTTATCCCTACCCCGAGGGGGTAGAGAGGTTGTTTCCAATAGACCCTCAGACTCAAGAAGACGAAAAGAGACAATATATCAGTACCAGCAACATAAACCAGAATATTAATAACAATGTTGAGTTTGCTAACAATGTTGAGTGTTGAAAAACAAGGGGAAAAGAGACTTACTTGAAGAATTTGCTAGGAATTGGAGAAGTTGTTGTGGTTTTGTCACTTGGATCATGGTAATAGTGTTGAGTTTGTTCCGAAAGAGGGACTCTCCATTTCCTAATGGCAGCGATAATATCACGCGCTAAGTTGATGAAAGGGCTACCTCCTTGTTCCTTAACATGACGATAGAAACGTTTACCAGCAAGAAATATTGTCAAGCCAAGGATGTTACAAGCCATAGATATACCTAAACCCCATGGTCAACCGATATTGTCCTCAACATATACAATGAACGCGGTGCTTAAAGCCCAACACAAGTAAAAGATGAAAATGTACCAATCAAATAACATTGCTTGATGTTTTGGTTTGTCAAATTGATAAACTCCCATGGGCGCGATTGTAAAACGTGTACCTGCAATTCCTATAGATGCTAATTCTAGTCCAACATACAAAACTACATATTGGTTTTTTGAGGGAGTTGTGCAGATATTGGATCCATCACCACACGCTGCAGGTCTTAATCCATCGATTGCTGCTGTCAACAGTAGAACCAACATACCCTACAAAATCAATATGTGATTCTTGAATCTTTTTCTAGTGTGAAGAAAGGAAGATGAATATAATGGTTAATGAAAAAGTTAGTTGTTTTTGTACCAGAGCTGAGATAAGAGAAGAAATCCAAATGACTGAAAAACAGCAAAGATAAGAGTCAGCAATGATTCCACCAAGAATTGGGAAAATAGTTGTCAAGCCATTGACCACATTGAAAACTTTAGCAGCAGCAATGCTCTTCATATTGAACTCATTTATTAGAAAAACAATCAGATTGCTCGTCCACCCTCCAGCCGCGAGCGATAAGCCCGCCATAGTTGCTGAACTTACCAATCAAAACATTCAACATTTCTTACATTGTCTCAACTCTTAACATGGAGTCTGTAGAAGTGAGTTCAACTGAATTCGTTGCTTTCAACTTGAACCATGTATACTGTGACGACCTGACCCGTTGTCACGTGAGTTACCGCACCGTTTTCCCCATTTTCTGCTTCTTTATGCTTCATTGTAAGAGTCTTGTGTGAACGAGTTGATTTGGATTGATTTCAGAAGGAAATGAGACACTTAGTCTCTTTAAGGAAGGTTTGGTTTGGAAAAGTCAACCGGATGTTGACTTATGAGTTAGAGGGCTCGGATGTGATTTCCGGTGATTCGGTTAGCTTCAGGGGATGATTTGTGACTTAGGAGCGTGATCGGAAGTGATTTTGGAAGTCCGGTGTAGAATTAGGCTTGAATTGGCGAAGTTAGTATTTTGGCGAATTCCGGTTGATAGGTGAGATTTTGATCCGAGGGTCGGAATAGAATTCCGAGAGTTGCTATAGCTTTGTTAGGTGATTTGGGATGTGTGTGCAAAATTTCAGGTCATTCGGAGATGTTTTGGTTGGGTTTTTGATCGAATGTGTGTTTCGGAAGTTTTTGAAGAACTTAGGCTTGAATTCGATGAGAAATGATGGTTTTAGTGTTTGTTTGAGGTGTTTTTATGATTGGAACAAGTTTGAATGATGTTTTAGGATGAGTTGGTGCTTTTGGTTGGGGTCCCGGGGGCCTCGGGGTGATTTCGGATGGCTAACGGGAGGTTTGAACTTGGAAAAATGCAGCAGAAAATGCAGCAGTCAGTGCAGCAGGATATTGGTCTTCGCGAACGCGAGTGGGCCATCGCGTTCGCGTAGAAGGATTTGGGGGCCCTGAGTTTTTGTTCTTCACGTTCGCAGCTGGGTCTCGCGTTCGCATAGGTTCGAGTTCTGGTGCATCGCGTTCGCGGGCAGTGTCTCGCGTTCGCATAAGAGGAATTGAGGACCCGCATTATTTGTTCTTCGCGTTCGCGACATGAATCACGCGTTCGCGTAGTTGGAGCAGTTAAAGCATTGCGTTCGCGGGTAAGTCACCGTGTTCGTGAAGGGTAATTTGGTCAGAGGCAAGTTTTGTTCATCGCGAACGCGAGAGGTCCCTCGCGTTTGCATAGAGTAAAAAGTCACCTGGGCATAATCGATTTAAGTCATTTTGTTCCGCGAGCTAGGTTATTTTTCCACCATTGTTGAGCATCCTTGAGAGCTTTTAGACGGGAATTGAAGGGGATTTCGACTGGGATTGATTGGAGGTAAGTTTTATGAACTAAAGACATGATTTAAATGTAGAATCAACCTAGAAATTCATGAAAATTTATCAAAAAGGGGGAAGAACTAGGGCTTGAGTTTTGAAATTTCAAATTGGGTTTTGATGGGTCATTCGAACTCGGATTTGGGAATTCTTGGTATGTATAGACTCGTGGCGAGATAAGGAATCCGTTAATGTAAAATTTTCTGAAATTCGAGAAGTGGGCCCGGGGCTCGGGTTTTGCAAATTTCGTGATTTTCGATGTTTTTCGATTCTTTTCGATTGGGTATTGTTCCATTGGCATATTGTGACGTATTCGTTGTGGTTTTGGTCATATTCGACGCGCGAGGAGGCCGATTTGAGAGGCAAGGGCATAGCGAGCTAGGATTTTGGCCTGCTTGAGGTGAGTAATGATAGTAAATGATATCCTGAGGGTTTGAAACCCCGGATTTGCACAACGTAGTGCTATATTGAGGTGAAACACGCGCTTAATGACGAGCGCGGGGTTGTTTACTATTGGGGATTGTGACTTGGTCCGTCCCGACTTATGTTTTTACCGCGTATATGACCGAGATATGTTTATTATTAACATGACTTGGGCCTATTGCCATATTTTGGGCTTCATGCCGACTACTTGAATCCTTCGTGGACTTTTATCACTGTTTCCTCACTATTTTGATATACTACTTGAACTCAGTCCTGTTGAATATACTGTTTTACAAACTCAGCCGCTTTAATTGAACTTTGAGACTTAAATGATATTTCCACTATTGTTTGGGCTGAGCACTACTATTTTATTGATGCCATAGGGTTTTATGATGTTTTCTGGACTGAGTGAGGCCGAGGGCCATATGTGAGGATATGTTGAGTGATGTGAGGAGGCTTTCAGGCCTTATGAGTGATGTGAGAAGGCTTTCAGGCCTTATGAGTGATGTGAGAAGGCTTTCAGGCCTTATGTTGATATAGCGCTTGGGCCGTAAGGGGCCCCTCCGGAGTCTGCACACCCACAGTGAGCGCGGGTACCCATATGATCTGAGAGTGAGCCCGAGGGGCTGATATTATGCAGAGTGACTGATACTGAGCCCGAGGGGCTGATACTGTTCTGAGCGATTGATACTGGGCCCGAGGGGCAGATTTCTACTCACTATTTACTTGTTGTTTTACCTGTTTTTAAAATGAGATTTCATTTGACTCTTTACTGTTTTACTGCGTTAAATGATTTACTGCATGATATAGAATTTCCTTGTGCACTTGTGTGTTTTCATGCCTTCGGTTATTATTTATTATTATTGCTCACTGGGTCGGAGTACTCATATTACTCCCTGCACCATGTGTGCAGATTCAGGCATAGCAGAGTCCGCACCTGAGCGCTGATTCCTTCCAGACCAGGCATCGATTTGGAGTTACGAGGTAGTTGTTGACGTCCGCAGCCCCTTGTCTCCTCTAT